GTATCAGTGACCTAGGCCTCCAAGGGCAGTCAGAGTGAGGAGATCCTGGGGAGGAGGCCTTTCTACTGAAGGAACAATAAATGCTCAATAATCAGAATGTATCATTTATAGGAAAAGAGGAAGCATCTGTGTCTATCCCTCCCTTTGTAGAAAATGAATCTGAGCAGTGAGATGTGATTTGTGCTTTGCTCATAAAAACAGAGTTATGGAAATTCATATGGTGATTAAAACAACCAGAGAGGTATTGGTAGTCAAATGTAAAAAGGGAGAATTAGGATTTAATTGATAGAGAATATGGGGGACCAGCCCCCACTTTTATGACCAGGGTATTCTTGAGCATGGAAAAGTGGGAAATATTTAGATAGAAAGAGATACCTAGATGAAGAGAAGAAAAACTGTAACACAGGATAGCCTCGGGAAGGCCTGGGTCAAACTCACTAGCCCAGAACTTTATTGAAAAGGGCTTTTTATAACAATGACAAGGGGTGAGATGAAAGACCACCCCCTTGCTAGATACAGCCAAGTGAAGAACCTTCCAAACATTCTGTACTCAGTCCTGTGGTCCAATCATCATCTTATGCAGACCTGCTGGGTAAAGCTACTAGGAAACCTCGGTGGGCTCTAACAGAGAGTGGGGAATCACTTGTGGATTTTCACTGAAGGAGAAAAAGTGGCAGAGTCCTGCCCTGGGAAGCTGTAACAGAACTCTCAGTTTGCAAATGGAGAGACATGAAGACATAAGAATAACCTGGGCAACCAACAGGTTAATCAGATTGTGTCCTCCAGAGTTCCAGTGAGGAGGACCCAGAAGAGGGAGACACAAAAATGGAAAATTCAGCCCTGCCCCCAAGATAGGTCTTGATACTTTCTGAGTCTGGGATGAGCACAAATGAAGAGTGAGCTCAATTACAAAGAGGAAACTAGAGCCCCAGTGAGAGAACTCAGAATGGACTCCTATCATGGGTTTAGGTGAGCATTTCTTATTAGATAGATACATTGTAAATGAGGCCACCTCCAAGGGACCATAGTACATCCAGGGGCAATGGATAGCTTCAGGTTCCTCTCAAATCTATAGGATGATACTAGCTAGCAATCACAATGTCACCCAAATTAGTTCACAAAATTGATGGTGTGGCACATGCAGCCTGTATCTATACCCCACACTGCCTCGAGCTTCATAATTTACACATGACTTTCTCATTTTGCCATCTCCTTTTTCAGCTATCTCATGAACTTAGGATTCTAGTGTCCTTGGTATAGGATGGGGAAATTGCAGAAAGCTCCAAGGACATGTTTAAGGACATAGATCTTTCTAATGAAGGCTCTATTGTCCCCCTGCCTCCACCCAATCCATTCCCATTCTGTATGTACACTAAGAGCAAGACTCATTCAGAATCAACTCTTTTGAGACATCATGTCAAATAAATTTGCAATGAATGCCAAAGAATACTTTGATAGAGGCAGAAGTAGAATCCAGAGCTGAAGAAATCCTTCTCAGGACAGATTACAACCTCTCCTGAATGTGTCTACTGTACCGTCTCCTCTCCCCTGTCAGGGAACCCCAAGAAGGCCTTAAAGTAGAGGATGATGGGGAAAAGCCTTCTGGGAAGGCAGCAGGTACCAGGATGTGAGTCTCTTCCTGTGTGATTTCTCCTCCACTCTTCTTAGCAGCTGACTTTAGACAGACAGGGTGGGAAGAGTTGCTGGGACAGGGCAGGAGGAGCCCAGATGCAGGACCAAGTAGACTCACACATCTGTTCTTTGGGGGGTCATGAGATACCAGGAGGTGACATCTTGAGTGCTTTGTGGTAGAGCCACATCTCTCAGCTTGGCCAAGACACCATGGACTTGGCAATTGTTCTTCACTGCCGCATCGTAGAGCTGATGCTGTGGTGTGAGCTGCAGTAGGAGATCCAGAGAGAAGCCACCACACTCCAGCCTTTAAAAGGACAGAGGTCACCACCAGACCTCCTGGACCCCCACTCTTCTCTGTCTTATCTTAGTTGCAGGATCTTGGGGAAGTCAGTTCACATCTATGTTGTCTCCTGGTCTATAGAATCAGAAGACAACGTTCCCTTTGTTTTGGGATCTCATGGGGGTAGGGAAATAAGTAGTTTTCACCATCAAGATGTCTCTGATTTATAGGATACCAGAAGGATTCTCTACTCTGAGAGGAGGGAGTCTCAGCTGAGAAATTACCTCACTATGATCAGGTGGCAGGCAAGCATGTTGGGCATTTTCTTT